AGGGTGCAGAGTTGGAGAAGGAGACAGACCGGGTTTTCAAAGGAGCAACAGAATTAAGGATGTTGGTGAGGCTGTTATTGTAGAATGTGACGAGGTCATCTGGGTTAGAAGAATTGAAGGTGAAGAAGGTATTATTAATATGAGGTAAAAGAATGTCATGGTTGATATTCTTGATATTACGGAAGGAAAGAGTGCGTTGAGGTTTCTCTGAAGAAAATTTAAGATTGACATTGAATGAAATTATCAGGTGATCAGTAAAAAGACGTTCATCAGAAGAACAGTTAAGAGGAGAGAGTCTAGAGCAACATAATAAGTCCAAAGTGTGGCCCTTTATGTGGGTTGGAAAGTTAATGAGCTGCTGGAAGCCACAACTGTCGAGGCAGGATGTGAAGTCTCTGGTGAGGGGGTTGTTGTCTTCATCCATATGAATGTTGAAGTCTCCAAGCAGAATAATGTTGGGTGAAAGAGCTGAGAGATGGGCAATTAGAGCAGCAAAGACATTTGTAAAAGAGTTGTTAATTTTTGGTGGGCTGTAGAAAGCGGCAACAACGGTGAGGGTAGGGCCAGAGAGTAGACACAGTGTGCTCAAAGGCAGAGGAAAGAGGTGTGTGGACCAGCATGACCTTACAGTTCTCGTGGTGAATTATCGCGAGACCTCCTCCATGGCCAGACTCGCGGGGTTTGGCTATGTAAACAAACCCCGATGGGGGAGATACATTCAGATGAGAAAAGTCATTCTGTTGTAACCACGTTTCTGTTAGACAAATAAAATCGTTGGCTACATACTGTAACCCCAGATTCTATGAGTATAGGCGCAGCCCTTTAAGGCTATCGCTAGTGGGTTTATCCCTTCACGCGCAGCACAGCACTGAAAACTTTAGTCCGCGCCCACCGGCTGTGTGGGCCCCACCCTCGGTCCGTATAAATTACAGTGAGACCAGACAATTGGCTCCCAAATAGCTTTTTTCTTCAGCCATTTAAGAACCAGTGAGGCCCAGAGCTTAAAGGGCTTCGCCTATACTCATAAAATCTGGAGTTACAGTACATAACCAATGTTCTATTTCGTATAGGCTTCACCCTTTAAGGCTGTCTCTAGTGGGTTAAAGGCAAAGCAGGATGTAGTCTATGCCTCACTGGGTCCATTCAGACAAAAACATGAAGCACCTGCTTGCTAAAAAAAAATGTAATCACTCAGCCTTCTGTGTGCGTAATTAGGCGCTGCACAAATACACGTTCCATGCGCAGGATCGCACCGGAGAAAAGATCTCTGGTGAGGAAAAAAGGCCGAGATAGCAGACCTGCTACTATGAATAGGAACAATGGAGGATACAAATTGTAACAGTGTAAAGATAAATAGAGCAGACCAACAGTTCCTCAGGATGAATCGATTAATAACAATAAAATCAGCAGTCATGAACTTGTGACCGATAAAAAATATCTCACACTGCGACTGCATGCAGGCAGGTGTGAGCACAAAAGTGAGGTTCCATGAAACAAATAATAATCATTCTGTCAGAACCCTGAGAACAGAATGGGTCATGGAGAAAGTAGAAACATCACGTAGATAAAAACGAATAATTGAACATGGCGATGACCAGGCAGCCACCATACAATCATCCTCCACTGTCATCCCTCCACGCAGAGCCATGGAGGATGAAAACCCTCTGGTGGAATGTGCTCTGAGATTCTCTGGAGGATCCAGTCCAGAACTGTAAGCTTCAGAAATAGCCTCACACAACCAGTGTGAGAGGCGCTGGGTGGATAGAGGGCGTCCTGAAGAGCTGTCCCCGTAATGCACGAACAGACGCTGAGAGCGGTGCAGTGCGGCCGTGTGCACAACGTAACACAAAAACGCGCGCATGGGACAGAGGAGGTGAGATGTTGCTGCTTCTTCTTCAGAATTATGAGGAAGAGGATAAAACCCATCCAAGATTATCACTCTCGATCCAAATGAGTTTGTGATGCTTTTCAGAGCAGGGTTAAAACACAGTACAGCTGAACTGCTGTCAGCTTGAATTCTGATACATGAGGGAGCCACAGAGAGAGCAGATAATCACTCACTCTCTTTGTCGACGTCAGAGCTAACAGCAGGGCTGTTTTAAATGGCAGGAATTTAAGTAAATCCTGATCTAACGGCTCAGAAGGAGCTTTTATCAGAGCGTGCAGGACCATCATTAGGTCCCTCTGTGGAGCTAGTGGACGTGACACCAGTCTGTGTCTCCGTACACCTTTCAGAAAACGCTTCATCAGCGGATGGTTAAAAACTGTTCTGTCACCGAAAAACCTCGACAGGAAGAAATAGCTGCAGCATAAGTTTTAATTGTGCTCAACGCTAAATTTCGATCCATCAGTTGCTGTAGAAATGACAGCATGCTACCTAGTGGACATGAGATGGCCTCCACGCCTTTCTCTGCGCACCAGCGCTGAAAAACTGTCCACTTGATGTGTACAGCGTTGTGTTGGAAGCAGCTCGTGCGCCCTGAAACGTACGCACCACATCCTGTGGAAGGCCCATCTTTTCTAAACGGATCCGTTCAGCGGACAGACCCAAAGATGCTGACCTATTTCTGGGTAACTCCTGATCGCTCTTCCTGCCTGAACGAGAGCACCCCCGCACAACAGTTTCCACAGCCGACCCAATATCAGTTGCTGCATATTCGGGAACCACGGAGCGCTTATGCGTTCGGGAGCTACGAGGATGACCAACGGTTCTTCCTCCCGGACCCGGTCCAGGGTCCGTGATATCAGTAGGACTGGAGGGAACACATAAAGGAGCATTTTTGACCACGAGTTGTGAGCGAAGGCATCTACTCCTAATGATGGGTAGTCTCGTGGGCTCAGTGAGAACCATAATTGACACTGGGCGTTCTCCCGTGTGGCGGACAGATCCACTGCTGCTCGGTTGAACCTGGTCCAAATCCGAGAAATCAGCTCAGGATGGAGGCTCCAGTCTCTGTGGCGGGGACCGCCCCTCAACATGATATCCGCTCGCCTGTTCAGGACGCTGGGAAAGTACACTGCTCTGATGGAGAGCAGGTTTTTGTGTGGCCAACACAACAGCTGTTTCGCGATGCGTAACAGTTGGACAGAGCGCACGCCTCCCTGACGGTTTATGTAAACTGCTGTCACCTTGTAGTCTGTGTGGATCAGAACATGCTGATCCCGCAGCAGGGGGCAAAATGCTGAGTCACGTTTCAGACCGTGAAAAACATTCTAGTACATTATGTAAAGCGACATGTGGTCCAGCCACTGTGCTCCCACTGCTTGGGACAGACACATTCCTCCCATCCTGACAGGAACGTGTCTGTGAAAACTGTGACGTGTGACGTAGGCCTGCTGATGGGAACTCCCTCTGACAGAATGAGGGGTTTCCCCATTGATTCAAATCGGTTCTCACGGAGGGGGGCACAAAGATGATCCCCCTCTTCTGGCGCTCAGGATCTATGCGCAGGCGGGCGAACCATCTCTGAAGGCATCTCATGTGAAGTAGGCCCAGCGGAGCCATGATGTGGGCCGCTGACATCGTCCCAGGAGTCGCCTGACAGGTAGAATTGTCAATATGCTGCAGGGTTTGACATGGCGGAGCTGAGCTGACAGAGCTTCGGCTCTCGGCTGTGATAAACGGCTCTCATTGTGGTTGAGTTTAGCTCCACTTCCAGATAAACAATCATCTGGGATGGACAAACTGAAATTTTCCCAGTTTATAGAAAACCTTAGGTGTAACACTAAAGTTTTGGTCTGTTCAACTGCTTCCTATCTGGACCGAGCTAATAAGAGCAGAAAGTCCAGATACAAAGAATTCTCATTCCTGCCATGTGTAATGACTGCAGAGCCGTCTCCACGCATTTAAAGAACGTGTGTGGGGTGTTTCAGAATGATGGAAATGTGAAAAAATGTGCCCTTCAGATCTATGGAGGTGAACCAGTCGTTCTGGTGAAGTTCTCCAGCAGCTGTTTGTCAGCATGTGGAATTGTCTCCCCATGATCTAACTGCTGAACATGAACAAGTCAAGAATGGCACTCATCCCTCCGTTTTTTTTTTTCAGAAACAGGAAGAAGTGGGAGGAGAAAAAAAAAGTATTTTCCTCTCCGTTGGAAACTCTGGAAATCACGTTTTTTGTCAGAAATTCCTGAACTTCTGACTGGAGAGACGAGCTCAGTTCTGGAGAAGACAGCGCCGTCTCTATAATCCCTCTGAATGGTGGGGGTTGAGCTGTGAACTGCAGCGTGTAACCCCTTCTGATCAGATGGTCCGTCCATCTGTCCAGGGAACACACTCGCTGCCACTCAGAGTAACGCTCGGAGAGTGGGCACGCATTTTGTGTTGTCATGTTTCTCATGAACGTCAACCAGACTAAAAAAACCCTTACTGCCATCACCCGCTCTGGAGATTCTCCAGAGGGAACTCGGGGGGAGGGGGGGGCGCACATATCATATAGGATATTGTTTATATATCATGAAAATTAGATGATAAAGATATAATCTAACTTTTATTTTATTATAGTCAAGTATAGTTCACAAAATATTGCCACTTTATATATGACCAGCTACCTTAGGGCTTCCCACTAATAATCATTATACTCCTCATAATTAATGACATGATGGAATCTAATGTGTACTTTTGTACACTTTCGGTTAGACTAGAACTTGAGTAAAAAAAAAACAACAGCATAATTTATTAGTTCCATCCATCCATCCATCCATCCATCCATCATCTTCTACCCACTTCTTCTTTTTTGGGTTGTGGGGGGTCGCTGGTGCCCATGTCCAGCAATCACTGTGTGAGGGGCGGGGTACACCCTGGACAGGTCGCAAGTCCATCACAGGGACACATAGAGACAAACGAGACAATCAAACTTTCACTCTCCCACTCATACTGTACCTAGGCATGTAAAACCACAGAACTGAAAATGGGTAAACTTTTCTCCTCTGTGACTTTTATTTAGAATGAGCAAAAATAAAAATAAATTACTTCCTGTTCTTGCTCTGCTCTAATCACAGGCTAGTGAATCTGGCAGTGCTGATGACGCTCAGTGCCTGGAGTGGCAGGAGATGGTTGCTGAGGCAGTCAGTGCCAGGGATCGGGCCAGAGAAGAAAAGGCTGTCATGGCCCTCCGAATCAGCCACATGGAGGAGGAAAGAGAGGGTAAGGCTTGTGCTGGAGGATGATAACACATAAACACATCTAGACTTGGAACCAACAGTAAGAACAATTGGAGTAAATGTAAGGTTGACAATTCAAAAGAAAGCTAGACCACTTGAAAATCTAAAGAAAAAGATGGTTTGAGCTTGATAGGTTTTATGCACAGGATCGAAGGTTTAGACATGCTTAGACATGTTGACTTTTTTTTCCTTCCAAATAAATGGGTAGGAAAGATGGCATTGAAGGTGTACAGACACTCCCCACCACAAACACACCTGGTCTTCTTTATTCATAAAAATGAGCAAGAAGAAGCTATGTTAATTGATATTCTTGTTCATTTTCGTCTAAAATAGCAGCCAGTATTTACTTTTCTTTAAAACTGCAGATTCAGTCCTCATTTATTTATATTTTTCTTAAAAAAAATTTTTTTTGAAGTGGGAAGGCAACATAATTTAATTCAAATTCAATTCAGTTTATTTAAATAGTGTCAAGTCACTACAGAGGTCGTCTCAGGGCACTTTACAGAAACATTCACATACGCACCAATTATTAAAGTTCTCTAATGAAGGAAGCAGAAGATGCGATGAATCTTCACTTCGTCGCAGACTCCCATCCTGAACAAGCACAAAAGAGACAGTGGAAAAGAAAACTTTTTTTAACAGAAAGAAACCTCCAGCAGAATCAGGCTCAGGACAAGCGGCCATTTTTTTCGACCGGCTGGGGTTTGAGAGGACAGAAAGGAGAAACGGATGAGCACAGAATGACAGGTCTAGGTGAACTTTCTATAGGAGGAAAGAAAAAAAGCATGTTAAGATAGAAATAATTACAAATACAAAACCGGTAGAGTAGAGCAAGTAAAGACAGCAGCATAGTGAAGAAATGTGGTCAATTTGTCCTCCAGCAGTCTAAGCCTATAGCAGCAGAACTAAGGGACAGCTCAGGAACCCCAAGCCAACCCTAACTATAGGATTTATCAAAAAGGAAGGACTTAACTAAGCCCAGTTTTAAAACTGGATAATGTGTCAGCCTCATGGACAGAAACTGGAAGTTGGTTCCACACGAGAGGAGCCTGATAACTGAAAGATCTGCCTCCCATTCCGTTTTTGGAAACTAGGAACCACAAGTAAACCTGCAGTCTGAGAGCAAAGTGCTCTGTTAGGAAAATATGGAACAATAAGATCTGTAATATAAGATGGAGCTAGGCTGTTGAGAGCTTTGTAGGTTAGAAGTAGGATTTTTGAATTCTATTCTGAATTTGACAGGGAGCCAATGGAGAGAAACTAAAACTGGAGAAATATGATCTCTCCCAGTAACTCCAGTTAAGACTCTGGCAGCAGCATTTTGGATCAACTGAAGACGTTTTAAAGAAGTATTTGGACACCCAGATAATAAACCATTGCAATAGTCCAGTCTAGACGTGACAAATGCATGGACCAGTTTTTCTGCATCATTTTTGGACAATTTTCTAATCTTAGTGATAGTATGCTGGTGGAAAAGGTGGTCCTGCTAACTTTGTTAATATTGTGGTTAAGACATATTCTGATCAAAAACAACCAAGGTGTTTTGCACTATAATTGGAGGCCAAATTAATGCCATCCAGAGGAAGTGAAAGACTGCAAAATTTATTCCCAATATGCTGTTCCAAAAACCACAACCCTTGTCTTTGAGTTTAAAAGCAGAAAAGTAAGAGTCATCCAGGTTTTATGTATTTAAGACATGCTTGTAATCTCAGTAACTAATTTAATTCATCATGATTCATGGACAAATGTAAATGAGCATTATCAGCATATCAATGAAAATGTATCCCATGCTGTTTAATAACTTTACCTAATGGAAACATATACAAAGTAAAGAGTATTGACCCATGCACTGAACCCTGAAGAACTCCATGACTAATTTTGGTGTATGAAGTAGATTTATTATTTACATTTACAAACTGGAATCTATCAAATATGGTTTAAACCATTTTAGAGCTGTTCCTGTAATCCCAACATCATATTCAAGCCTCTGTAGTAAAACATTGTGATCAACTGTATCAAATGCAGCAGAAGATTGATCTAATTTATTGAGACCACTGGAGAATACTTTCTTAAGGTCTTTTAAAATGTTTTTGGCCTTGCTCTGTATGTTCACTCAGTTTCTGTGCTTGTACCTGACCATTTTCAGAGGAATGTTCTTTTTTGCGTGTTTGTTGAGCCACTTCTGACCTCTGAATTTTTAAAACATCGCCAAACGTAAAAAAAAGCTCCTAAACTCAAGAAATGGACAATCGTGGTTGACAAAAAAACCACATATATATATATATATATATATACATATGTAGTGAACTTGACCTGATGTCAAAACTAAGCCTAAGGTCAAAATCCTTGACCTTAAGAACCTTGTGGGACAGAAACTGTCATTTCATTGATTTGAATCCAGAAATACAGGTTCACCCATCCTGAGACTTTCTTTCTTGAAAATTCAAGTGAAAGAACACTCTCTTTTCTATTATCATTACATGTTTTACAAATGTTTGATAATCAAAGTGTTTTAGTTCAAACATTTTAGATGTTACAGTGAACTAATCAATTTTATTAACTGTAAAACAGTAACAATGATTTTTTAGTTGCTTATGCAAAGTAGAATTCATGTTAAGGCCTGTTACAGAGTAATTATGCATTTTCTGATTTCTGTCTTTGAATGAGCAGTGTACGTTTTCCAAGGTCAGGAGTCGAAGCAGACATGTGTTGGAACAACTGTCTTGTTTTTAAATCCTCTCAGACGTAAGCAGAGAAGTTGGCACCTGTTTCTCCAAACTCGCCAAAACATTTCTCTCGCCTGTCTGGGAAACATTTTCAATCTGTTCCATAACATTCTTGCTGGTTTCTGACTTTCCATAACACCTTACATCACAAAACACACCCCTGTCTGGTTGATATTGACCAATCAGGAACTCTCAAATATACCGGAAATAGAGCCTTTAAAATGTCGGTACTTCCTAGTTCTCCTAGTGCTGAGATGATCGTAGTTCTGTGTGGTAGCAGTTCGGAGATGTTCGGTGAAGTGGCAGTTCTGTGATGTGCCCAGTTCTCAGTTCTGTGAGTTCTGTGAAGTTCTGTTGGAGTCTGGCTGGGAAACAGGAAAACCCTGACATGATAGAGCTCTTCCGAGTTTTATGGGATTATAACATCTTCACCTCTGAGTGGAACTCGGACGAACCCCACTCATGTGAGGTCCACTGGCTGAGGTGAACTTGTGTCAGACGGGATATCGTCACTACTTCGGACGAGTCACAGCCATCCTATGGAGACGCTGAAAGGTAGCGTTAACTGGAGCTCCTCTTCTTCTGATTCATCGTCAGAGAGGTAAATGAGTCTAGTCCACTACTGAGCGTACCGAGGAAAAGCTGGGTCGGATGGAGGGTGTCGTCCTGTCAACACTTTTCACTCATACACACCACATTCTCCC